TCGAAACCTTCTGGATGTGGTCCATACTGCTGAATCCTTTGCGAAATCCAGCTTGCTCTTGGAGTTGTGCTTCATCCAGTGTCCTAGATATACGAGCGAGGATAATCTTCATGAAAAGCTTGTACAGCACACTCAGCACGCATATTGGACTGTAGTTCCGAAGATCCTCCCGTTCATCTTCACCCTTCTTGAAGAGAAGGGTGTTCTCCACTGGTTGGGAATCCTCTCCTTCTGAATGTAGGATGTCAGGTGCGAGGCGAGACGACGGAAAGATGGTCTGGTCCTGGAGCCGTGGACATCTTCATGGTCTGAACCGCCGTGCTCACTTCAGCAGGTAGAATTCGTGGTGGTGCTTCTCCAGCGGGAACAACGGGCATCGGCACGGGTGTTGATGAGCGGAAGAGGTTGTTGTAGGTTCTTCGCGATCGATTCCATCTTATATCGGGAAGAAGTCGGAGTCCCGTCTTCTTTCAATAGTGCAGCCAGCGGTACGTGATATTCACAGAGGTCCCTTTGGCACTTCTTCAGACTTCGTCTTCTTTCGGCTGCTTCCAGTATCTTGGCTCGCCTGTACTTCCTGAGATCCTCCTGCAAAGCTGTTCTGCAATTGGAGTTGGCTATCAGTCGCTCGAGATGGGATGCATTCGGATCTTGCCTCAGAAATCTTCTTCTTTCGAGCAATTCCTTGGTGGTTTGAATTGCGTTCCAAGTTCCTCTCAGAAGTCACTGAGGCGCATTCTCCACAGGCTCGCAATCCTTTCAAAAGTCGGTCGTAGTCGTACATTGGGTCCTCCTCGTTGGGCCAGTCACAATTTGATATGAGCTCTTCCAGCCTGTTACCGTCACAAACGACTTCCTTCCTTCTCGCGGCAATGTGACAGATTTTATTTTCCAGCCTTCGGCTGGGTCGTATCTTCGCTCGAAGGAGGCGGTGATCGGAGATAGCAGAATGATGGAACTATTGAGATATCGAGCAAGTTCCACTTTCGATTGGTGAGAATGTGGTCGATCTCCGCGTGAGTCGTTCCGCTGGGCGATTCCCATGTCCACAGGCGATGTTCCTTCTTCATGAAGATGGAATTTCCATGGAAGAGTCGTGCGGGGGAAGGAAGCCCAACGAAACGGTTGCCGTTTTCGTTCGGAGCCCATATCCAAACTTTCCGATCCTGTATTCCTTCTCTAGTGGCATCCCGATTTTCGCATCATAGTTGCCACAACATACTTGTAGAAAAACTTTTCGATGCGGACAATCTCCTCCACGTCTTCGTAGAAAGCATCTATAATAGTTCTCAGTCATCAACTGCTGATGTTGGAGAGTAGCAGTTGATGATGCTGATGGTCTTCTGACGTCGAGGGCGTAGTCGTAGAATGGGTAATCGGGGTGATAGGATCTCGTGCGAATTGACAAGATGGGCGATAGATGGGTGGACGATAAAGCCAGAGCCTCCTACGTTTCGTGATGGAACCTCCTCACCAAAATGATGAGCGTCCCATCATTTATCTACTGCATGTCCTTCATTTTAAACTTCATTTCCTGCAGAGCGATGATGTGGTACTTGATGTGCTCCGCAGCGTCGAGAAGAGCGTGGAGGTCGGCGTTTGTAGAGATTGTCTTGGCGAAGTAGGTGCAGAGCATGAGGCAGTCTCTATAGCAAGTCGTCCGGGCGGACGTGTCGTTTTTGTTCAATCCAAAAGGCGCCCTGAGGACCCTGACAACGGTCTTGCTACCACCCGGCGCCGTAGGCGGGATCCGATGTGCAGGGTTTCTTTCTATTCTTCTAACTGGTAGAGTAATGAAATTTTTTCTCCTACAAGAGCAGACTTTACTAGGCCTACTCTTGATTACCACGGGGCGATCGCTGACCCCGGGCTTGGAACGGGAAGAACCGCCTAACGACCTGAAAACCAGACGGCGGTGGATCTGGCCTGGCCAGCTCTTAGTTAGGCATCCGGCCGAAACCGGAGACGTCAAACTCCTTCACAGCTAGAGAGGCCGTGCCAGATTATCCACTCGGCTGTGCATCGCAATTCGACACCCAGTGTCACCCCCGCGCCACGATGAGGCGGCCGATATCATTGTGGGGACGGTATGTGTAAGATAGAAAAACTGGAATTTGACTGAGACTTCGTTAGTCGACTTAACACGTTTCGAACCGCGAAATCGCGCGCGGCGAAAAAGAGTGCACTTTCGGCCATTAGCCGACAAAGGGACCTTAGTTCGTAGAGTGTGTGCTACGTCTGTAATCAGCATGTCAGATAAGGTTCGTATCCAAAGTTCTGAGTGAATTTGAAGTGTTTGAATTTTCTTGCTTGGGAAGGACTTTTGTGCTTCTTGAAAGATAGGAACAAGAAAGCACTTTCATAGTATCCAAAAGTATCTTCACATCATTATTGAACTACGGTTATCCTCTCAGAAATCGAAGCAAAGGAAAGTTGCGACGTCGCACGCGTCGTTCGCGTTGCCGCACTTCGCTGCACTGTTGTTCGAATTGTCCCCGTATCTTCCAAACAAATACCGGTGACAAAGCTCTACCGAGTCCTCTAAAAAAGAGGAGGAACTCTACCAGAGGAAGAGGAGCCTCTTCCCCTGGTAGAGTTGTGAATTTCACGCTTGAGCACTTTTTTTTCACCTTACTCGATCGTAGTATTTCCTCACTTTTTTGAACAAGTTTGCCTCGTAATTATCCCCCTCTCCCTCCCGTCTTGCTCTTACCCCCAATACGACCTCCCAGATCGGGCGCATTTGATCCCACGCTCAACCCTGGTAATTACTGCTATCCAATTCAGCCTTCTATTTACATTGGTACTTATTGTTTCCGCTGAGCCAAGAAATAAGACTTTTTGGTTACTTTGCACATTTCGCAATTTTAACTCACTCCCTGCAATACAGGATACACCACAACAATACAGCTGCTCGACCACCCGCTCCACATCCATATTGGAAAAGGAATCCGTCAAGGCGACACCTTGTCGCCAGAGCAGTTCAGTGCCGCACTGCAATGTTGCATGCAGTCACTCGATTGGGATGAGAAGGAGATATGAGTGGATGAACGATATTTTTCGAATCTCTGTTTCGCAGATGATATCGTTCCATTCTCAAATTCCGTTAGCGAAGCCGAAGAGATGTTGAACGAGTTAGATGAAAGCGGGAGAAGGATAGGGCTCAGAATCAATCGGACGAAGACACAGTTGAGGAGCAACTGCAGCGAAGGCCATTACACTTGATGGATAACCGGTAGAGGAGACCACATTCCATAATATACGATAGTAGAGCAATTCCGGGATATCTATACACCATTGCGGTCACGTCTGCGAAGCAGAGGTGACCCACTGATGTATAGATATCTCAGAATTTAAAGGCAGCGTCCAGGCAGATCTGGACCTATGGGGCTTTTACGTGGAAAGTACTTTTGGGGCCCTAACTAAGGCACTGCCCAAGCGGCAGCTCAGGTAGTGCTCTAATGGCTGAGATATTCCCCTTTAAACTGGACCCCGCGACCGTGTTTCGCATGGATTCATGGCGCAAAGCGTGGATCCTGGCGCGAAATTGCCATAAATCCATGCGAATACGTTCGCGGGGGCCAGTTTCGAGGGGAATATCTCAGCTATTAGAGCACTACCTGAGCTGCCGCTTGGGCAGTGCCTTAGTTAGGGCCCCAAAAGTACTTTCCACGTAAAAGCCCCATAGGTCCAGATCTGCCTGGACGCTGCCTTTGAGCGCTGTTTGAGAGTATCCTTCGCATCGTTGAGTAGCTTTTTTTCAGAATTTTGTAGATTGTACAGTAAGCCACGATGGGCGAAGCAAGCAAAAGAGTGTGCGGGGCTGCCCGCTAAAGCGATGACCTTTTTTATCACTTCTATTAGGTTGGTGCAAAAGTAATGCGCGTTTTGCGAGTTTTTACTTTGTCGTGCTATAACTTTCTAAAAAATCCATGATTTTCAGTGCGGCAAAGTTCATCAAAGACACCAAACCTTTCTCTATACAGCGCACATTGATTTGTGCTAACATCGCAAAATGGTGGAAAAATATGGATTGATAGGCAAAAATTTTTTTTCGGAAACCTCGTTTTTAACTGATCATAACTTCCTTTAAGATCTGTCGGTATAAATGAAAAGTTAACTGACTTGTAGCCGCAAGCCAGCAGTACAAAAAAGTTGAAAGGGGCTCAAACAAAGAAGATCTGCGAAAAGGAAAAAATAATATTTAAAATTGTTCACTTTTTTCGACATTTTTTTGTAACCCTCAAAACCCAAAATATAGAAGTTTTTGATATTCTGTGAACTGAACAGCTTCCACATTGCTGCAAAAACTATCAACAGGAGGCCCACCCTTACGCTTACAAAAATGAGCAAGATCTTGGCGATTGCCCTCTCCTCTTCAAAGGAAATCTATGGGCCACAGAATGGTCAAAACCATCACTCATGTTGAGGCGCCGAAATCTCAGTCTAAATAATTTCTGAGAAAACAGCAAAGTGTGCATAATGTAGACAATTTCCTTTACATACAGTTGCTATATTTTCAAGGGAGTTTCTTTATTCGCGCTCAAATTCTGGCCAAAAAAGTAAGTGCAATGAAATTCTGATTTTGAGTGCGGTTGTATGAAGCTCTAGAAATTCTTAACAAATGAGGCTAGAAGCTTCTTTCAACCACCATTAAATAGAGCATGAAAGAAGCTTCTTGATAGTATGCTGTGTAAGTTCCTTAGGAAAAACTTCGATGGAGAAAAGCTATCTTGAAACAAAGGCTAGAAAAACGCGCATTACTTCTGCACCAACCTCATAGTAAGATGTTGTGGCTCCGCACTTCCTGCGATGCGTGGCTGAGGGATCTATCAGACTATTAATGGAAGAGTCTACACTGTTGGGACACCGCCTCGAAGTAAGCGTGTAAGCCACAGAAGATCTTGTTGGCAGCTAGACTCAACCTTACTTCGTCTCCATACTGTATTTACAGATCACACACTTCAATCCATATTTATAGGTCGATTGTATCGGGAGTAATGATCATTTCTATCGTACGCATTTTGTTAGCTAGTGAGTTCATGGCTGCCTCACTATGCATATCGCTAAAAATTATGTCGTCGTTTTGAGCGTGGATGTTCGCAGCACTGGCAGTGGCGCTTTTAAATGTTCGCATCACTCGACAAAATGGGAATCAAGGAAACGCTCAAGAACTGGAATGTTTCGGGAACGATGAGTTTCCACATGGGTCTCCAGGGTCGCTCGACAGGGTAAGCAGAAAATAACGTAGTGGAATGCAACATGCTTCGTTTCAGCTTGAGTACTACTGTACCTACTACTATGAATTCTCGGGCGACGACTGTAGGAGCGCGTCCATGCCGCGTCAAGGACGTGGAGTTGCTGGAGAAGGGGTACGTTGCTGCAGAAAATCGCCCATATCGCCGCTTGTACGTCAAAGGGTCTGAGATCCGGTACGCGGCAAACGTTGAGGGACTCGTTAGCCGTGAAGCGCGCCAGCGCAATCATTGGCCGTAGTTGGCAACGTAGCTGAAGTTGGCCCAGTTTTGACATGTTTTTGTTCTCTAACATCGTTTTTGATGTTTCCTGGTCACTCTCGAAATCAAAATATGGAAAACAGAAATGATTGTCTGGCGAAAATAATCTACAACATAGCTATCGCTATGTGGATACTATACCGCACACTGTAAGTAGGACCTGAGTTGTGCCCAGGGCTCACTGGGCACAACTCAGTGAGGTCAGTCACACTAATCTAGTGCGGGCTACTGATGCAGTGGACTCAGGGATGATCTGCTCGTTCTCAGTCATTGCGTCTGAGACAACGTTAAACGAGTAAACTCAGGAGAGATGTTTGGCGGCATAGTGAAAACACATATGATCGGCTCCACGATTCTACAGAGGTGGACGCGGACTTTCCCTGATTATGAGGGTTGACCTGTTAGACCTTCACATCATTAGCATTGCTCTTGGCAGTCTCTCGCAAAAACGCCAAGCTTTGAGCTGGCAAGACTCCGCCTCTATACGAATCTTGGAGCCATTGATGTACCTAAATTACAATTCCTTTCAGTCCTCCGATGAAGACGAGATCTTCGAAACGTTAGTTCAATAAAAGTTCCACCATACCAGCCTGTGGGCATAAGAGATGGACGTCAATTTTCTCTTGAAGTTCTTCATTTCTTCCTCGTCTTTCTTGTTAGTGGCTCACCGTCCCGATTTTGTGACCCGCTGGCCGGTAGAAAGATGAACGATGGACCAGTAACATGTTGGGACTCATCAAGATTTGAATGTCGGGATGTAGACTGCAAGACTTTCCAACTCTTATAACCAAATTCGCATGATTTCCAAATACCGTGCTTTACGGAACTCGGCGAGAGCAGCGGGGAAGAGATGTGCCCTTCGCCCTCCGTGGGCGTATCTAAACGAACCCTTGAGAGTAAAGTTTACCCGGAAAGCGATTAACCCGTATTTACAAACATGACTCATCAAGGGAGGTTCAAGCTAGCATAGAGCAGGGTTAGATCCACCATGACACTTCGTACCAAATTAATGTGATCTTTCGATACACCATTTAATCTTACCGATACTGTTTTGACAACAAACACATCTTTATGTTCGTTGCGAAAGTTCTTTCCGTTTCTCTAATTGTCATACACGTGGATTAAAGATGTGCAAAAGATTCAACGCAGTTCATGTCTACATAGCATTTGTCTGCGTGAACACCAAAACAATCGCTGAAATTTCGAACCCATGATTTTTTTTGTCACACCAACTTCGGCAATTTTTCAAAGACTTGAGTCCCAACTTCGAAAGAGCTTGATGACGAGCGGATAGATTAGAGTATAAAACGGTTTTTTGTATTGCGACGCAACACAAACAATTTTTTGGTCATCTCTGACTGCTTTCTACTATTTTTCAAAATTTTTCCCTCTAAAGCAACGCATTAGTGCATACTGAAAATATCTATAGAATATAACAATCGAAAGAAAGCATAAAATTTGAAGCGATATTTAGAATAAAAAAGAGCTGCACAAACCCGTATTGCAAATGTATGAGGAGTAACAAATTACATTCGTCAACATCAGAACAGCAAAAAGGAGAATGTAATTAGTAGGCAGCAATAATTAGCGAAATTAAGGAAAATTGGGAACGAGAATTGAAAAATGACATTATTTCGAGAATACAAACAATCACACTTTGACTCAACGGATGCAAATAAAAAGTTCACCAATTTGGCTTAAAAATGACGAAAATGAGACTTTAAAAGACCAAGAAACATCAAAAACAATGTTAGAGAACAAAAACATGTGAAAACTAGGCCAGCTTCAGCTGCCTTGCCAACTACGGTCAATGATTGCGCTGGCGCACTCCACGGCTAACGAGTCCCTCAACGTTTGCCGCGTACCGGATCTCAAAGGGTCTGACGCTCTGATACCGAGTACTGGTGCTAGATGACTAAAGGGCCGGGCATACTTCACGCGATTTCAGTCGCGACGCGATTTGGCAATATTCCAACTGTCCATAACTCACTGTAAGCACATTTAAAATGCTCAGAAGATAGAGGATTTTATCAATACTTTATACACATTACATGCATGTGCAGTTTGCTAATGTTGTATCTGAAGACTTCTGGCGAATTGCAAAATCGCGTGAAGTATGCCCGGCCCTTAAGGGCATGCACCACGCGACTTCATCGCCTTGCGATTCTCACAATAAAATAACTGTTACGAGTCCATTGCATGGCTATCCTCCTGCATTTCGGTTGTAATAGCTCTCCGACACGACTAATTATTGCTGATCAATATAACCGAAACGCAAGGTGATCACATGCAATAAACTCGTAACTTTTGTCTTGACATCTCAGACCTCGACCTCGACCGCAGAAAACTTACAATCGTTCAAGGAGGCCAGCGCCGCGTAGTGGAGCCACACATCTACGCGCAAGTGTTACCGTAGGCGCAGCGTGCAGATACCATGCTGCACACAACATCGCGGGCCTTGTTTTTATCATTGTATCTTGTAATTTTTCCTTTTTTGTAGTGGCGTGTTGCCATTTTCCTTGCTTCTGTGCTCATATGCGATTTGTCTTGATATCGGCTACGATTCTTTTCGCAACCAAGGAAGGAGGTATCAAATCTTTGAGCGTTTTTTCTCACGACATCTTTCATTTCATCCAGGCCTTCTTCAGATGGCTGATCTCGGTTGTCATGATTCATTATATCGACTCTTCTAATTCGCGCAGCGGTACTTTGAGAAATTTTAGGAAGAGCACCGAACTAGGGTTTTAGACACGAAAAGCTCAGAAATTTGGAAGCAGGACAGCGAAAAAGCTAAGAAAGAAGAAGGAAGAGCAGCTAATTGAAGGACCACGTCGCTTTGCGCGGCGTGATCCCTGCACGCTGCGGCCGACGGTAGCGCTCGCGCGCAGGTGTGTAACTACGTGGCGCTGGTCCCGTCAAACGCATTGTATGTAGCGACAGAATGACTGCGCGACTTAATCAAATCTGTGGCGTAACTAATGGAAATCCACGATGTGGTTAACTTTTCAATGTATTCTAAATTTGGCAAAGCGACGCCATTGAAGGGAACCTTCAGTCATTTTCATGCTTGATCGCCTTCATTGCACTTTGGCAAATTTGCAGTGCGGTCTCCAGCCTTGCATTTTCATGTAACCTTATCTAAGCGTGAGTATAAGGCATTCGAAAAATCGTGATGACGATGGCGCGCCCGCGCGCTACACGCACGCACCTGCCGGCAACCGCATTTTCTTGGTTTTCATCTCTATCCGAATGGTTTTTCTGCTCACCTATGATAGTATTTAAACAGTATTTGGAAGAGACTGGCTGAAAGTTGAGGTGATGCCGTTGTATATGAGTGTTTTCTACTCCTATGGGCGCAAAGACCGCAGTCAAATCCGTCGTCACGGTTTTGCAAAAGATCTATAAGTGAGTCTTCTCGTAGTAACTTTCAAAATGATCTGCTTCAAGCCTCGGGCAAAGTTCACTCAATTTCATCGCCGCGTTTCTTCCAAAGAGACGAACACTCACGAGTCCATTGCATTTCGATCATCTTGCATTTCGGTTGTGATAGTTAGTCACGATTGGTCGTGATGGAGAACTATCACAACCGAAATGCAGGATGATCGGCATCAATAGACCCGTAACTATTTGTTTTGCTGGAAAATCGCGGCGATGAAATCGCGTAGATTTTGCTCGAGGCTTACTCATTCTATCATGGGAAACATCACATTCTTGTTTCAGATGAAAAGTGGTCAGGGGTACTTTTTCATTTTAGACAATGATCTAGTGGTTTGTAATCTCGTTGCCTTTTTTTGGTATACGGTAGTTCTGACTTTCTTGACTAGGCTAGCCGCTGCACTGAGTTTTCCTAGGTAAACCTTTAGGCAATGTTATGTTGTGTTTTTGTGTTTTGTTTTTTCTTGTTACTTTGTCGTTCTCCTGTTACTCAATTTGGATCTCTTTTTGCATCTCATTGTCTATGCGCGGTAGCTACCTTAAGGGTTTTTGCATTCACTTATCGAAAATCGATGGTGTTGCGAAAAGCGCGCCAAAACTTTTGATTATGAGTTGTCTCCGCCAGCTAGGGCAGTGATGCAGTCAGTCGTTGTTTTGTTTTTGTTAGTGTTCGCATTGAGCTCTCTCTTTTTATTGCTCATTTCTTTTGTTGTCTTGATCGCATCGATAAACGGTTGTTTCTCTTGATCGTTCTAGTGAGATGAACGCGGTACCACCGCGAAGTATCTATTCCTAGGCTATCGTTGTAGCCACTTGGAAGCCGAACCACTCACTGAAACGTTGGGGCATCAGTGATCCCCACAAGAGAAATAAGAAAAGCGCTGGCTGTGCCCCGCTCAGATTACGAAGTAAATAGGGAAGCGTCTTGAGACCTTCCGAAAGAAATTTTGGGGCATCAGTGATCCCCATAACGTGATAAGGCGCGATTAAAGATTCGCCATTTTAATCGCGTTTTGTCATTCGCAGAAGCAGCGGTAGTACCCTGCAGTAAAATCTCGAGAGAATAAATCACCGAGATCCCGAATTGTGCTAATCTAGATTTCCATCGATTGAGCATTCAATACACTGTGCTGCTCAGCAGATCAATATTGAGTCGTGTGATTATTGATTGCGATCGTTCGCAATTTCGCGTCGTTTAACGTAATTGCTCAAGCGTTATACTAAGTCACTTTTGTTATTGCAGATAAAATGCCGAATTCAGTTGTGGCATCGAACAAGCAAGGCGACGAAGGTGAGCAGGGCACTACTGAAAAAGAGGTAAGAGTACAGTGTTTTAACTTGAACGAAAAATACAAAGAACTACATAAAAGCCTGAATAAGTTGAGAGCGTTTTTTTTTTCGCATAGGGGATAAGCGAAGGG